CCCTGCACAGCTTCCACTTGGAACTTTTCAGGGCCCTTGAGATAGTGCCTGCGCAGTTCGTCCCTGCCGCCTATCGGATAATCGCTGGCTTCATCATTAGATGCCACAGCGTCGGTGTGACCCCCACCGTGGACCTGCTGCACTACTTCTTCCGTCTGTCCACCTTCGGACGCACAGGGTATTTGACCCTTATCGCCCGTCCGTCCATGGTCCTATTCTCGAACAATGCTGGGAATCCAGACGGTTGGGAAGAACGCTTCTTCCTGGCCGGAGTAGGCTCACCGATGCCATTCTCTGACCGGTGGAATGCTTACCCCGTGAAGACGATCCCACCGCCCATGACGGATGAGGAGCTTGGATATGCCAAGCGCATAGCCGGACTTGGCATCCAGAACCTCCGGTTGCTGGTGGCCGAGCCCTTTAAAGCTCGGGCTGGATTAGGTGCGTCCGTTTGTACTTGTATTGTTTTGACATCTCTTTGCTGTTATGGTTCTGAACGTCTTGGTTCCCTTTGTGCAGGAGTTTTTCCATCTACGTCCACCATGAGCCGAGTCAACGCTGCTTCGACTGCCGCCGGCCGCGAGCACAAGGGGCATGGTAAGCCCGGGAAGCCGCTCGTCCCTAAGGTCGAAACTCGGGTGACCAGGGCACGGGCTGAAGATGATTCGGGAGCTGGCGCCTCCAAGAGGCTGCGTGTCGAGGGTACTGCCTCCAAGGCCATTATAGTGGCCGACGACTCTGATGGGGAGCCCGGAAGTCCCCTCAAGCGGAAGCGCACTTCTCGGACCAATCTCCGTGCCTCTCCTCCGAGGAATTCCGACGTCCGCCGTCTTCGGGATGAAGATACCCCGACCGTCAAAGGTTCTGGCGACGCCCGTCCAAATTCTCCCCCAGGAGCCAGTGAGTCTTCTCTTGGCTTGATCGAGTTTTCTGGGGTTGGCCCCCGCAAGGAGTCTATGATGCTCTTTGGCCAGACAGCGTCCTCCATCTGGTGTGGGCTGAACCTCAAGGTCCCGCACCACAAGTCCCCCAGTTTCTTGAGTAGTGAGCTCGCGAATCTGCTCGAAAAAATATACTCTGCCTGCGCTCTTCCTCTGTCTTGCTGGAAACTGTGTCTTCACATAATCATCATATATGAGTGAGTGTCTGCACTCCTGAACGTAATCTACCAGTGAGGCACCCCCCTTCCCGACAGGGTCGGGCGAAGGGTGCTCCTCCACGGGCACACTCCCCCTGAATGCATCAGGCGGGAGTAAAGGACTCTGACTCGAGCTTTCCAATCGGAGAAGCTTAGAGGTCCATGCATCTGTAAACCGACGTCGCGGTACTGTCAAAACATGATGCACGTGTGTATGTATGAATGTATGAGGTATGATGCATGAATGCATGTAATGTATGGGTGCAATGTATGAGAGAGGGAATGCAAGATGTGATAGGAGCGGTAGCTCTCAACGATAACCCGGGCATGTCAGCGCCGAGGCGCTAGGGCGCTGATCGTGCTGCATAAGAGACGTTCGCCGCCATCCTGAAAGGGATGGGCGACCCTAACGTGAGCCAGACGCGATGGCGCTGGGGCACTGATCGTGCTGCATAAGAGACGTTCGTCGCCATCCTGGAAGGGATGGGCGACCCTAACGTGAACCAGACACGATGGCGCTGGGGCGCTGATCGTGCTGCATAAGAGACGTTCGCCGCCATCCTGAAAGGGATGGGCGACCCTAACGTGAGCCAGACACGATGGCGCTGGGGCGCTGATCGTGCTGCATAAGAGACGTTCGTCGCCATCCTGGAAGGGATGGGCGACCCTAACGTGAACCAGACACGATTGCGCTGGGGCGCTGATCGTGCTGCATAAGAGACGTTCGCCGCCATCCTGAAAGGGATGGGCGACCCTAACGTGAGCCAGACACGATGGCGCTGGGGCGCTGATCGTGCTGCACAAGAGACGTTCGTCGCCATCCTGGAAGGGATGGGCGACCCTAACGTGAGCCAGACACGATGGCGCTGAGAAGCCGATCGTGCTGCATAAGACGGTCGTCGCCATCCTGGAGGGAATGGGCGAGCCGAACCGTGAAGCCAGGTACGATGGCGCTGAGGGGCCGATCGCACTGCATAAGACGTTCGTCGCCATCCTGGAGGGAATGGGGCGATCCAAACGTGAAAGAGACACGATGGCGCTGAGAAGCCGATCGTGCTGCACAAGACGGTCGTCGCCATCCTGGAGGGAATGGGCGAGCCGAACCGTGAGCCAGGTACGATGGCGCTGAGGAGCCGATCGCACTGCATAAGACGTTCGTCGCCATCCTGGAGGGAATGGGGCGATCCGAACGTGAAAGAGACACGATGGCGCTGAGAAGCCGATCGTGCTGCACAAGACGGTCGTCGCCATCCTGGAGGGAATGGGCGAGCCGAACCGTGAGCCAGGTACGATGGCGCTGAGGAGCCGATCGCACTGCATAAGACGTTCGTCGCCATCCTGGAGGGAATGGGGCGATCCGAACGTGAAAGAGACACGATGGCGCTGAGAAGCCGATCGTGCTGCACAAGACGGTCGTCGCCATCCTGGAGGGAATGGGCGAGCCGAACCGTGAGCCAGGTACGATGGCACTGAGGAGCCGATCGCACTGCATAAGACGTTCGTTGCCATCCTGGAGGGAATGGGCGAGCCGAACCGTGAAATCAGGTACAGTCCGTCTTGGCTGGCTATGAGAAGCCGATCGTCTGTCAGGACTTCACCCTGGGAGGAAGGGTGGACCTGGGCGTCGTCCCTCTGTCTGATCTGGGGAGCTGGTATTCGTCGTCCAAGGCAAAAGAAAGCCTGACGTTAGCCGATCGTCGTCGGCCACTTCATTCTTCGTACTTAAGTTTTGTAATTATTCTTTACATATGTTTTTCAGTTTGTACTTCCCGGCCAATAGCGCCGAGGGATAAAATCATTCTTTGCTCCGTGCTCTTCTGGCTTTTTTTTTTTTTGGAGTCCTTTAATCTTCGTTCGTCATTGGTCCTTGGTCCTACCGGCGTTCTTACATCGAAGAAACGTTCGGTATCCGCAGACATCGCAATGAGGAACAGGTATATCTACATCGAGATTCCCCCTTTTTCGTTCGTCCGTGGTCCTTTTAGTCTTACCGGCGTCTCTTGCTTCGAAGAAGACGTTCGGTACCCAAGGAACTCGCAGGGACGAACAGGTTTACCCTCACGGGTTCCCGACTTTGTTATCCCACGTCCATCGATCCATGGTCATTGTGGGATAAACAGGTTTATCTTGGCAAAGCTCCCTTGGTTCGTCTAGCCCCCTCCGCGTCTCTACTAACCTCTACATCGAGAGGCGTTCGTCTTCGGCGGTGGGAGAAGATCTGGCACGCCCGGGCAAGATTCCCTTCCACATAGGAGCTACCCTCCTCTTCTCCCCATCTTTTTTTTTTTGTTGTTTGAGGGAGGCAATCTATATTCTTTGTTCGTCCTTGGTTCTTGGTCCTACCGGCGCTCTTGCTTCGAAGAGACGTTCGGTATCCGCGAAACTCGCAAGGAGGAACAGGTTTATCTACATCGAGATTCCCTAGCTCTTCTTTGTCCGTCCCTGGTCCGTGGTCCTACCGATCTTCCTACATCGAAGAAGACATTCGGTATCCAAGAAACTCGCAGGGATCACGGGATGTCACACATAATGGCGGTGGCATAGCGAACGAATATAATGACGAGGCGATAGAATAGCTGATCGTCATGCGAAGGCCTGAAGTCCATGTTTAACAATAGCGCATTTTTACTATGGTGAACTTTATAGGCGCATTTCATTGGGTGCTCACTGTATGGGGCATTTCAATAGGTTTCCCTCCTATAGGGTGTATTCTACTTGCTCCCACTCGGAGGTGCATTTAATCGGGGCGCCCTCCAAGGACGTGTTTTGTGAGAGCACCCTCTTAACTCTTAAGAGGATATATATTAATCGAAAACCCGTATCTTTGGGGTGCTTTAAACTGGTGTGCCGCCCCTCCAAAGGCGCTTATTAGGAAATCGTCATAGGGGTGCCCAACACGGCGATGAATTTAACTTAAGCACCTCCTTGGACGCATTTAGCCATGACACCCCCTAGGGGAGCATTTAACAAAGGAGCCCTACCATATTCCCATTTAAACACAATGTCTTCTCTCATTGCTTTTAAGTGGCGTGTCCTACGTACTAACCCCTCTTTTATATTGTGTACACCTCAGACATTTAATTTCACCCATGCTCGTTTAAGCGTGTCACACTCTCAAATGCTCCTTTCACTAGGCACACTTAAGCCCCCAGCCCCCCCCCCCCCCCCCCCCCCCGCGCGGCTCATTCAACCAAGGCGGTCTCGTGTGGCCACATTTAATCAGAGTACTCTCATGGTAGCAGCGCGTTAACTGGAGGCTTGGGACCCTAGGCCGGCCTAGGGCGTGTTTAGCCGATGCGCCCTACGTAGATATTAATTAATAATGTATATCTCATTCTAGAACTTTCCATAGAAGACTGAGGCTATTCATGTAGCCATGGAAGGCTAACACTTGTAAAAAACACCCTATAATTAGTAACATCTTGTTTCTCTTATAAAATACTCTCTTTGTTCATTATAACTTTGTCACCTTTCATTTTTTATTGTTCCAATAATTTTGCCATTTTCCCGTTCAATAAAAAATTGATTCATATAATTTCTCTATCCTCTGCACAATTTCAATCACACAATTTTTACCTTATTATTTCATGTATCAATCAAACTTAACAAAATTTTAAGGGAAAAAACTATGAAATATCTTTTCTATTGTCTTCTTGTTCATGTTCTTGTTCAATTCCATTGATGGGTCATTGGAAACCTAGCGATTTCTTAAAAGCTTGCTTCAAGCCTTCCAAGCTTGGTACCTAAGCTGTTGGAGTAACATCGAGAATAGCGTTTCAACCTAGGTGCCAGAATCGGTTAGTCCAAATTCTTTAGTTGGAGATTGAATGCAAAAAAAACAAGATTATCAAACATAACCAAAGAAACATAATCCAGGTCAAATCATAACGGTAACCAAACGCCCCTTGCCCATGTAAAAGTTCAAAGTTAGCAGTCAACAAGAACAAATACCCAGGCCACTACATACATGTATTCATTCGTTGACACAGAGCAACATAAAAATGATACAACCATACCTTGCATGAAAAAGATACAAGTTTAAGACTGAGATATGACACATTAACAATATGATGAATGAATACAACAAGCACACCTCTATTGAAAGACAAAAGTAGAACAGATCATAGTACTGTAGTATACATAAATCATTGTACATGAAGAGAAAAAAGAAAAAACTTCACCATCAAATCTCCTCTCCAAAAGTGCAGTAAAGAAGACTATACTATACCTTGACGAATGTAAAAGAAGGGTGAAGCAATCCAAGGTCATCCCTGATTTCAAGAGGAGTGCTAGTCTCGTTCCGGATCCTCTTCACTCTCCGACTCTCGAGAGACTTATGAGTGAATCCATACATTTGTAGGATCTGATTGTCCCCGAAATTGAAAGCCCGCTCCATCTGCTTCAAACACCTCTCTATCTCTACTTTATACTCTCCCATCTTTGAACACGGCTTGCAACCCACAAAGTGAGTCACCAATGGCCATCTATGATCTCCGAAGCCCGGGTGGTAATTGTCAATCATTTCTTCGTATCTATCCACTAGAATTCCCCAATAGCCGTGCAAGAAGTAGAGATTCTCCAGAAACACCTTATCGCCCCACTTCTCCCGCTGTGTTGCCAGGAGATAAACCATAGCAGATTGGTCATCTGCTTCGAAAACAGGCCGACCCTTAAGCTCCTGGGTCAGTAATGCCCCAGCATCATCCCGGACCTTCCCCTTGGGCCCCATTGGAGCCAATTCATCAAGAAGATCCAATGACCACTGGGTGTTCCTTAGCAGAAAGCTCCCCGTATTCAATCCGATCCAGTTCTTCTTCTCGTACACTTCATGACCCCAACCGTGTAGCACGAGGTTTGAGTCTTTGTACCTCTCCCACGGCAGCTCAAACGCCATGTCAGTAAACATTGCATCACTGTCCATCCACCACAACAGCTCAACTTCTGGATGCGAAATCAGAAGCTTCCTCAGCAATGGCAGTTTGGCCCAAAATCCAGACATTTCCGGGTCCAGCAAAGCCATGTTGTAGAACACCTCGATCCCATGTACCCTGCAGTAGTCAATCTTGTTCTTAATCGATTTCAACAGGTAATGGTCTCCAATCGGGTTCTCACATGGTTTCGGAGACGACCCAGTGACTAACAAAACCCTAGGTTTATTGGGTCCCAAGAAATTAGGGAAATCAGGATTCGTTTTCAACCACTCCGCTCTCTGCTCGTCCCAATCAGAAATCTTGGGCCCGAGACTGTACGGCTCGTTCGGATCCCTTGTGAATTCGGGTGACCCGTCATCCTCATCAACCACAACCTTCCCTAGATCAAACTCTTTGTAGCTATGGTCGTCAACCGACCCGGAATCGGCGGCGCTGACATTACCTCCGCCAGTGACATTAACTAGCTCCGCTTCTTCCAAAACGCGGCGCGGCTCGGCCCGCTTCCTGTAGTAGCTCAAAGTCTCTGCGATGTCTTTGAGATCCTTCTCGGGGGTGCCGAACTTTCCGGCGCCGAGATTGCCACGCAGGACGACGACGGTGAGGACGAGGCAGAAGAGGGTAACCTTTCCATTACGGAGAATCCGCCGGACTTGCCACGCCCTCCTGGCACTCAAGAACCGATCTAGCATTTCTATACTCCCAAATCTCAGCTTGGGATTGGAGCTCCAGAAGCTGAAGTTGAGGTAAGAGATTTATTTTAGGTCAGATTTCTGCAGAATCGATAATTGAAGTGTCTGGATATTCGGAAAGCTGGCATAAGGGGATCTCGTGGAAATTTATGCGGAAGAGCTGTCGGTGAGGATAAATAACGGTGCGTTTGTTTGATGGGAGGTAAAATGGGTGGGAGGAGTAATTTTAAGGAATGTGTGTAATTTTAAGAGAAAGGTTTCTGGGAAATTTTAGTTCCCGTTGGAGGTGGGGTGGGCGGGAATAGGTGAAGGGAATTTTAAGGAATGTGTGTGTATTTTAAGAGAAAGGTTTTTAGCCCTTTTGCATATACTGTCTTTTTTTTATAGGCTGTCTTTTTTGTTTTATGTCTTTGAAAAAAAGAACATCTTTGAAATTCATACGGAGTATTACTTTTCTTTTTTTAGCCTTTTACTTATCAACTAGTAATCTCACCCGTGCGATGCACGGCATGAGATTTTTTTTATTTACGTGTGGTCAACATTTCACAAAACTCTATTAATTGACTACACAGTAATAAAACCACGATGATAATGTCAGTACAAAGCATTCCTCAAAAATTCAAAACCACTGCCCATAAACTTTCAAAGCATGACCTTATAACTATTGGTCTGAAAAACACGTAAACATTGTTCAATACTTCTTTGAATACAACATTCTGCGTCTTGTCGGCGGTGCCTCCATCTTCATCAACAATCAGAATTTTCAGACCACGTATGTTGGTCACCCTTGAAATGGCAACATACTACTGTCTGTGGGTAAATACAGGTTTTTTCAGCAACAACCCCACACGGGACAAAGATTGACCTTGACTTTTATTAATAGTCATACCATATGAAGTCATAACAGGAAATTGATTGCATTATTTAGACGAATAGCTGATGTAACCTGGCAAATCGGGGGGTGCAGATATGTGAACATGTGTTATGTCTTTATCTATACGAATTGCATTATTTTGACGAATTGCTGATGTAACTTGGCAAATCAGGGGGGTGCAGACATGTGAAAATATGTTATGTCTTTATCTATACGGATTGTATTATTTAGACGAATTGCTGATGTGACCAGGCAAATCAGGGGGTGCAGATATCTGAAAATGTGTTATGTTTTTATATATACGAATTGCATTATTTAGACGAATTGCTCATGTAACCTGGCAAATTAGGGGGATGCAGATATGTGAAAATGTGTTATGTCTTTATCTATACGAATTGCATTATTTAGACGAATTGCTGATGTAACATGACAAATTAGGGGGTGTGCAGATATGTGAAAATGTGTTATGTCTTTCCTAAACTATACTTAAATATAAATTTATGAGAAAATCTTCAAATGAGTATTTATACATATAATTTTTTTAGGTATATCCGTATATATGTATATAACTTTTTTAAATGATTACATAAATACGATTAAAATAAAGGTTGTTTATAAAAATGTGACATGTTAAGCATAGTTACTACGGTCGAAATACTTTTTTACATCTTTCAATTTTTTTATTATCTAAATTCACCAAATCAAATTTCAACCCCAAAATTATTTAACTTCATTCTTCTTTAGAGAAATTGCACTTTTCTCTAAATGAAAGAAAAATGAAATAGAAATTGTCTTTAAATTACAAATTTAGTATGATTTATATCATTTATAATGACACAATATATGGGCAGATGACTTGCTCTCGACAAAACATGTAAAGATGACCATGACTAAAAATAGTTTTTTAAACAACGAAAATAGTTTTTCACATAGATTAACTTAGTTCGAAATTAGCAGAAGTATGTATATAATGAAAGATGATTTATTTTTTAATTTGTTGTGCCCTTCTATAACTTAAAAATTAATAATTCTTACTTAGAACCAAAACAAAAATAGAAATCAACAGGTTTGGGCATTGTCCTTTAAAAATCGGGTTTGGGCATTGACCCCAAAAAAATGACAACCAAAGCCATTTTAATAGGAGAATCCAGAGCAGCCTAACACTTCGGTCTTCGGGTACGATAAATACACGGGCCCGTCTATATAGCCCAATAATACATGCAAACCCAATAACATTGGGTTTATAACCGAACGGTGAAAACATACGACACCCATTCAAACCCTCCCCTATCTTCGCCAACATGCACCCACCTTCAATATTCCCTCTGACCAAACATAATCGATGCTCATTCGCCATTTGTTCGAAGCGACGGGAAAATTTTGTGATCCTCACACTTAATCGACCCTTTCAAGCCCCCCTATCTCACAGTGAAGCAACAACCGCACGAACGTCGGCAGAATCTGGCGTCAATCTGCCACCTGAGCTACGCGGCAATGGTAAGATCTAAGATCTGATTCCCTACACCTCACGCCACCACTAAGTGGAATACATGTTTTCTAAAGAATAAACAACCTAAAACTCTTTTTTTTTCTTATTACAACATACAAACTCTACAGATCTGGAACTTCCATGGCCATGGCTCCATAAACATTTCACTCTTCCGCCTTAAATTAATGTCCACAGTAAGAACTAAATCCGTCCACTTCACGAACCACGCCTTCATTTGCACGTTTTTTCACGAATAAGCAACGACTAACCGATTTTATATGAACAACATTGACCAAAGCCTACAGATCTGGAAGATATGTGTTCATGGTTCTAAATGGTTTTCATTTCCAGTTTTTTCATCATTTTTTAGAAGAGATTAATTTAATTATTTTGATATATCTGTCGTCAGATACACGTGTTTAAACAAATAAGCAACCTAAAACTGATTTATTGTGAACCACATCATCGAAACCCTACATATCTGGAAGAGTGGAATATCTATGTTAATAGGTAAAAAGTTTTTTCATTTCCAGATCATGTTGATTATTGTTTATGCATGGGTCGGTAATACGCATCCATCATCTTTGTTTGCATTTTTAACAAAAAAAAACACATTCAATTTTTCAATAAGTTAGAATAACCCATACAAAACATTAAAGTATATCCAACATTCGTTTGTGGACGTTCTTAAACCTGTTTTTTGAAATTAATAGAAAAATAAACAAATAAGTTTTTTTCATTCCACATAAATATTTTTCCCTACATACGAATATCCACGCGTAATGTCGTCAATGTTATTTTGAAACTGTATTTATCTAGAATTTTCTGAAAAGGACAACATATTTCAAGCCTTTGAGGATGTAAATATTGGTTTTTTATATGGATCTATTCGAGAATATTTAACTGGTGTTCGATATGTATTTTTAGTATTCTGTTCATACAGATTTTTCAACATTTTTGAGGATGTAAACATTCTTCAATTTTTTTAAACATACACTTCAAACACTTTAATTTTTTTAACAAACACTTTAAACATTTTTTAAGTTTTTAGACAGATTTCTTCATCATTTTTTTTAAATCAGACACTTTAATATTTTTTAACAGACGCTTTAATCAATTTTTTTAAGCAGACACTTTAATCATTTTTTTAAACAGACACTTTAATCAAGACATTTGTCGAGTGCAATATTTTGTATAGGGTCCCACCACATTTAAACCTTTTACACCTGTACACACATACTACACAGTATTAATGCTAATACATCCACCAAATTCCATTTGGAATGCAGGTCTATGGATATATTTTCTCTGAGTGACCATTGTTTCTATGTTTTGTACCCCTTTTTAATTTAAAATTAATTTCATGTATCTCAATTTGTAAGTTTGGGATGTAATAATTTAAAAATTAGGGTTAGATTATGATAGAATTAGGACTGGAGCAGAGGCAGTGATCCCAGCCTCCCATGTATATCTCTTGAACCCACTTTTTTTTATCCATCTTACAATTATAAAATTACTCTCTATTTTTTAAAACCATTCTATTATATTCAATGGCTATCAAAAACTTTATCAATGTCATAAAAACATGTCAAGGAATAGGGAGACAAAAACAATCATTAGTCATTACAAAATTTGTAGCATTAAAATCTAACAGTGTTTTCATTAATCACAAACTTAATTGAATAACAAATGGCTCCAGCTTCAAACTCTCTAAGACAACTATAGGAAAACATACACAATATTTAGTCCGGTAAATAAGTAGGTTGATATTACAAAGCAAAGTGTATTCTGTAAAGTAGTTTGAGCCACAAACTTTGTTGTGAAGGAGTTGAGATGTTGTCTTCTCACCATTATAGCTCCATACAACCCATCACACAGATATTATTTATGTAACGCTACATACCTAAAATGCAGAGATTTATCCCCGGAAACACTATCGTCATTTAATCTTTTTCAATCTTAACACCCTTCATCTTCTTCATTGGCATTGTTGGAAAAAGATCTCCAAAAATATCTCTATTGACTCTGTCCCCAGCAATGTCCAGGGCAATCCTCTTTTCTTTGGTCAACAATGGCGTGGTTGGATTCACTTCTTGGGAAGACATAGGAACAATTAGTATTAAAATTAAGATAAATGAAATAAGTATGTGTCAACATTTTCATTGCAAGAGCTCTCTTCATTAGTGTAAACTCATCCTTCTCCTATATCATACAATTACAATAAAATTAAAAAAGATCCCATTTAAATAATGTTGGGATATTAGGTCCAGGCCCAATATCCCTAGGCCCAAATCCAAGAAGAAGCAGCGGGCCCAAGACCGTCCAAAGAATTCCCGGATGGCATTCGGGATAAAGCTTATACTTGGAACATTCCAGGAATCACTTACGTCAAGGTGCCAATGCCCATATACCGATCGGCGTTCGGGATACGTCCATAAGCAGGATAGCACCCATGACGGGGTCCCACACACCGAACACCCTGCCCGAACGGGCAATCAGCAAGTGGAGGCCGCATTTAATGCTGGATCATGGCGGCAGCAAGTGGGGGCATGGGTGCATACATGGCAGAAGTGACAGCCTACCGGATTTGGCCACGTGTCCACCTCACCCATCCCTATTTTAGTATAAATACCCATGTTTAGATCATTGTAAAGGGTTAGCATTTTAATACTCAGAGCTTAGCAATAGATTTACATCTCTTATCCTTGTATTCTTATAATCATCTACCGTTCGGGTAGTTCCAGTGTAATCACATATTTATTGAATACCAGTAAGCTCCTGAGTTGAACAAATATCTCACTGTTTTATATTTTATACACTTTCCAACC